CCAATAGGCAGGGCTAGCCCCAGCCTCAGCTCTCCCCTGCCCAGCCCTGGCCTGCACTGCTCACCACCAGGAGGTCATTGAAGAGGAACACTTCTCTCTGGTGTGCGGCCTGCTTCTGGAGCTTGTTCACGTCAGTCACCTCGAAGAGCCGGCTACAGCAGACCAGGCGGCGGTGTGGCATGGACAGCACCTGAAACCCAGACAGGGCTCTATAGTGAAGCCTCAGATACCCCAGGGGTCTCCTCCAAGCCCAGGACACACATTTTCCAGAAAAGGAGATAGAAGTTCAGGGAGTGGGCATGGGCTCTACTCCTATGCAAAGACCAATGCTTGACCCTCAACCTCTCATGGCCGGGGGGCGGGGGGTTAGGGTGTGTCTCTGTTCCCATCATCACGCCTCTAGGGCAGCAGATCCAGAGACTCATTATGCTTGTGTAATGAGATCATGGGAGGAGGAGCAGAAATTGAGATAAGTTTTCAAACTTTTCACGACCTAATATCAGCCTTCCCCCTCCATGACCATGTGCATGCGAAATCCATGCCCGTTTCTTTACTGCACACTCAAACACAAGCGTGCAAGGGAAAGGGGATTATAGGGACCCCAGGATGTACCCTAATAACTCAAATATCAGCTGGCTTGCGGAGCAGATAAATACTGAGTTTTTAGTCTCAGAGGCTCTGACGTGAGGGTCCTTCCTGCACAGAGAGCTCAAAGCCCCCCTGCAGTGGAAGGACTATGCACCTGCCCCACCTTACCCACACCCAGTGTAAGGTGCCAGTAACATAGGGTACTACAGAGGAGGCCAGCTTTAAAACTCACTGCACATTAGAGCACGCCGCCCGGACCTCGGTTGCCACCACCTACAGTCTAGACGCCTGCCATCCCCTGCTTCCTGTGAGAGGCATCCTAAACTTTCTCAACTGGCCGTCCACATGCTTCAACCTTAGATCGTCGGCCACTTCCTTCTGACATCTCCCCCTAGTAACAGCAGCTGGTGGCAAGAGAGATGAGGACGTTACGCAAAGGGAGAAAGAGGATTGAGTGCCTGGCGCACAGCGCAAACTCAATCCTTGACTCACAGAGAAGCGTCTTTGAGAAAGGTAAGGGAGAGACTGGGGTGATGTCGGGAAGAAAGAAAGAATAGGAAACAGGAGATGGCTGTCTGGGTGGCCCGCCATGGAGAGGAAGTCAAGAGTGGCAGGGAGTGCCGCTCAGCACGGGCACTTACCGTCTTCATGCCCACGATGGACTTCTCCACCTTGGTGACGTATGTGACGTGGTCTTCGTTGGACTTGAGCTCCTTCTGTTGGATCCTTTCATAGATGCCTACCACCAGCTCTCTGGGGATGTCAGCGCCGTCATCCACACCTACCAACATGGAGGACAAGATTTCCCTTCACACCAGAACACCAGGAAGGTGGCCTTGTTTGTGTTTTGTTTTTGATCCAAAGCTTTGAATAGTTGGCTCCCTATCCCCACTAAAGGAAAGATAGACTTCTCAGCAATGTCTGCTAATGCCCTCTGCTCCCACCTCCTAGGCCGCTTTCCTGAGGTCCCCAGGCTCCCCCTAAGGATCTTTGCTTCCGCACTTCTATTGTCTTCTGTGCATTTGCCTTGACCTCACCCTGTGTCTCTCCATGAGCATGAAGATTATCTGTCTTTCCTCTTTGGGGTCTTTTCTTTCTGGGACTTCTCTTCTCCTTTAGCAGGGGACAGGGTACCAAAAACGGATACCATGGAGCAGTGGAATGAGTTGTAGGTGTCTTCCCTCACTGAGGCAGAGAACTGAGCAGGAAGCTAAGAGGAGGCTCATGTCTTGAGGTAGCACAGGCAGTGAACCCCTCCTGTCTGCTCCTGATGTTATATACTGGCAATATTTGGAGAGCAAAAGAGTTATCGGATGGGAATAAAAGGCAGAGCGATTGTGGGAACATGAGTGAGGAAGAAGACTTGAGTGGTAAGGTGAGTAGCGCCTTCCAGAAAGTCAACCAAGAAAACTTCGGTACACAGTAAATACAAGTAAAATCTGACATCTGAGTTAAGCAATTCAGGAGAGAAGATAAGTGACCAGAACCACACTCTGAACTGCTTCTCTATCCATAGTTTTGCTTCAACAAATTGTCAATCAAAAATATTCCAAGAACTGCATCTGTCCCAAACATGTACAGATGTTTTTTTCTTGACTTTATTCCCTAAATAACATGATATAACAATTGTTTACATAGCATTTAAATTGTATTTGGCCTTATAACTCATCTAGAGATGACTTAGAGTATAAAAGAGGGTGAAATAATATGCCAATGTACACACACACACACACACACACGCACACACACACACAGAGAGAAACTGAACACCCAACAGGGTCCTGGAAACAATTCCTTAGGGACATGGAAGGATACTATGTATCAGAAAACTTCACACAGCTGGACATGTGTTTTTAGGCTGAAAAGATTGGCCCAAATTAATAGTGGATGAAGAAAAACACATTAGTGTGAAAATTCTCTACACAAAGGCAACCAGAAGAACCCATAGACTTTCAGACGTCAAGGAAAAACAACCTTCCCAAGGCCAGGCGCTAGACGGCAGAGCTGCACTTCAGCTAAGGCAGAGCAGGGCATGCCCACACCTAAGCTGCATATTTCCAGGCTGGGATCCTATTCCAGTTAGCTCCCAGTCACATGTGAAGGCAGAAGAAGGCAGATTCAGAATGCAGGCTACCGGTTTGTCACCAATGTGCCCTTTCTTTGGAAACCAACTACAAATGAGGGAGCCGTGCTGTCCAGGAACCAGGACTGTGGCTCAGGAGATGTCATGGAGATGCTGACAAGGAGGTAAAACACCTAGGGAACCAACCAAATCTAAAAGATTGATGCCCAGGATAGGGCCAGGTGCTTTAGTGGTACAAACAGAGGAAGCCAAATCTAAAACAAATCTAAAACTGACTCCAAGGAAGGTGGAAAAACTGTAGCCACGATATTCTCAAGATCCAGCTTTGGCTGGTACAACTCCTTTGGATGTCAGTGTGGTGATTTCTCAGAAAATTAGGAAACAACCTTCCTCAAGACCCAGCAATACCACTTTTGGGGATATATCCAAAGGATGCTCAATCGTGCCACAAGGACATGTGCTCAACTAGGTTCATAGCAGCTTTGTTTGCCATAGTTAGAACCTGAAAACACCTAAATGTCCCTCGATCAAAGAATGGATAAGGAGAATGTGGTACATTTACACAATGGAGTACTACACAGCAGACAAAAAATAATGACATCTTGAATTTTGCAGAAAAATGGATGGAGCAAGAAAACATTATTTTGAGTGAGGTAACCCAGATACAGAAAGACAATTATCACATGTACTCACTCATAGGTGGTTTTTAAACATAAAGCAAAAAAAAAAAAAAAACCAGCTTACAAACCACAATCCCAGAGAACTGTGACAACAATGAGGACACTAAGAGGGACTTACATAGATCTAATGTACATGGGATGTAGAAAAAGACAAGATCTCCTGAGTAAATTGGGAGCATGGGAACCTTGGGAGAAGGTTGAAGGTGGGGGGGAGAGACAGGGAGGGGAGCAGAGAAAAATGTAGAACTCAATAAAAATAAATAATAATAATAATAATAATAATAACGATCCAGCTTTGGGCTGTGTTCACTTGGCTTTCTTATCCCTCTCTGGTTTTTAGTGGTGATGTTTGAAGAAATGGGAAAAAACTCTATATAATAGGAAATTTAAACGTTGCTTAAAATAAAAAATTAAGTACTCAATCCCCCCTCCCCGCAATACCACAGCATTTGTACTGTGCGACTCCATTGCTATATCTCTGGAGGTGACAGGATGATGCAAAGCTCAGGAAGGTGTCTCAGGTGAGATGGGATGAGAGAGAAGGTTCTGGGTGATGTAGACTCAGGTGTGAGCACACGGGTGTCCATGAATATAAACTCTTGTCATATTTATTCACCTTATACGGTCTGTGTTTATAACTTGGGATAGGAAGAAAGAAACAGCTTGTCATTTATTGATTTGGAAGGAACACTAGACATATATCAACAGGCTGGGGATGTAGCTCAGTGGGAGATGGCTTGCCTAGAGTTCAGAAGTCCCCGACTTCTCTCTCAGCACCACAAGATGAATCAATAAACAACAGAAACCTACTCGAGGAAACCTACTCAAAGTGTGGCTTGAGGGAACAGCGGTGGTCACAGGGGCAGCAGGGTCTATTCTCTCTTTTTTTTTCCTGTAATGAACCTTGTAGAATTATTTTACTTTTTTAAGTACATACATGCACAACTTTGATTTTTGATTTAATTTTTGGAGATGGTATCATTCTAAAGCCCAGACTGACCTTGAACTCACTCTGTAGCCCAGGCTGACCTTGAGCCAGCTGCAATCCTCCTGCTTTATCCTCCCAAGTGCTGAGATTACAGGTGTGGCGGTATCACCTCTGACACTTTGATTCTTCAATGCCCAAAGCTATCCATGTTACTACATACATTATATGCTGGTAGCTTTGGTCTGGTCCCAGTGAGAGGCACATGGTATCAGTCAGAAAGGCTTTGCTGGCAGGTACTATCAAATGACCTGCAAGGCTGAATTCAAGGAACTCAGAGCTGGAAAGCCTTATTCACAATCTCTTTCCTCCTAAGTCATGAGGTCAGAAGGGTTAGCCCTAACCGGATACCAGTCTAGTGCCAACGACCTGAAGGTCACCCAGTGGGGATGGTCCACAGCACGTAGAAGACAGAAGGCAGAAGGCAGAAGGCATTGCTGTAGGGCCCCACTTCTTTGAATAGGGCTGTGGTACCTGGAAACTCCATATGCTGGAAAGTACAAAACTTCCCCAGTCTGCTAGGGGTGACTAGGTCCTCAGGAACAAATAACTTCTAGAGTTAGGGCTCATAGTCACAGAATTAACACGAACAGGACCAGGCAGCATTGTGCAGCATCCTTACCCCACCTCCCCAGTCCAGCTTCTTACCTCGAAGGTTTCGGATAAAGTCTTCCAGCATCATCTTCCGGTCAGGCTTGATGTTGGGGCTGTACATGTCGGTGTTGAGAAGAATGATGGCAAAGGCCAGGATGAAGATGGTGTCTGGGTTGTGGAACTGCTGCACCACCTCGGGGTTACACATGCAGTAGCGCTGGCTGTGGGGATGTGGGGCAGGGCCGTGAGCTCCCAAACTCCAGCCCTTGAAGGGTCTGGGGACCTGGAGATCACTGGCTGTCCGTCCCTCAGTACCCACTTCCCACATGTGCTTAGTAAAATGGGCTGGCTCTGGTGAGTGACCAGCATCCATTGGGAGGGTCCCATGTGGCTGCCAGCTCGGAGGACTCACTAAAGGATTCTTTCTCTGTTTCTTCCAGTCTGTCTTCCCACCTACACCAGAAGGGCTTCACCCAGGTCAGCATCTCTTAGCCCCGAATCGTGGCAGCTTTTCTTTACCACCTATTTCCCAGAAATCAGGGGATTTGGAGAATCAGGGAGGGGAGCTGGGAAGGCATCTCACCTGAAAGCCTCTATGAGTCGCTCTACCTTCTGGGCCTCTCCTTGCACGCGGATGTGAGCTTGAAACTTCCTCAGGGCCTCGTCCAGCTCCATGTTGGAAAAGTCCATTTCATCTACCACGCAACTGAGGGCAAGCAGGAGGGGGTTGTGGGTAAGGTCAGCCCCCTTCAACTCCTCTGGAGCTGAGGGGTGAGGTGAAGCCACCCTGGAGAGGTGGGGGGGGGGACGACTTGACTTGCTTCTAGACAGGAAGGAATGGAGGAAGCCTTACAGCTTTTCATCCCCTGCTCTGGGGTCTCCTCTGAATAACCGAGGTGGACAGCTTTCTTCTGCCACCTCTCACCTCATGCAGCAGTCCTGGAAGGCAAGTTACTGCCCGTTGTCTCTGTCCCACAGTCAAATACCCGAGGCCTAGGGTGATGGGCTGCTGTGGAATATTTCTTTAACTATGCAAAGATGTGTTGTATTTGTTTAATTATGTAAAGATGTGCTGCTGTTTCACCTTGCCTGTCTGAGTTACCTGATTGGTCTAATAAAAAGCTGAATGGCCAATAACAAGAGAGGAGGTATAGGTGGAACTTCCCTGAAGGGAGAATAAGTAGGAGGAGGAATTTAGACTTAGGGAGAAGGAAAGAATGAAGGAGGAGAAGGAGAAAAGAAGAAGAAGAAGAAGAAGAAGAAGAAGAAGAAGAAGAAGAAGAA